GCGAAGATCAGTTCACATCTGATTCATATATACGATTTAAGTTGGTCTTAAAACGTGTTAACCTTCGTATCTATCGTCTGCTCAGCTCACATGTAAAGGGTCTTTATTTTGAGGATATTTCGAAACAAAATTCGTTTTCATCCAGGTAATGTCACTGTGTAAAGTGACTGGTTTTATAGACCTTGATCTCTTTCCATCTAAGTCTATGGTAAGCGTGATTATTTCAAATTCCCCATGGTGAATTTTCCATTACTAGATAACAATGAGCCAGTAGATTTGATGTTTAAAGCTTGAGCCCTACATCACGATCAAGATATCAACAGTTGACAGATCCACTCGCAACAGAATGTTTTTGATAGATTGAGATTGCGAGGATGTTTTTTTGGTTATCATGATAATCTCGTTTGATTTTTTTTTATTTCCTTGTGCCATAAGAACTAGAACGAGTTTGATGATCGTTAGTATACCTCGTGGTTTCATTGTTAATTTTGTTCTCATTTAGGAACGTGACGTTACTTATTGAATTGACCAAATTCTATATAACGGTTGTCATTGATGAAGCAAAAGGTGCTTACTCTTCCGTAAAACATGGTCTTATTCTTCTTGTACTTGTCAGGAATTCCCTTTGTAACTTTTTCTTGATTCATATTTAGAAATAGTTCCATCGAATTTGACTATGAATTTACATTATGATTTTCTTTGATATTTAAATGAGATACTTGCCAATGTGTACATAATTTTACTGCATGTTCCCAGTTTTACATATTTATGGTTGATATTGAAGTATTTTTGTTTTTACTTTTTAAACAATTGTATGTCACCTATTATTTAATGACAGTACAGTTTCACAGTGCTATTTCACAAGTTTTTTCCCAATGAACTAATTTTTACAGGCAAGTTACTGACATACAGACATATGGACAGAACGTATCAACAGCGGACTATCATTAATTACGTAAGTTGTATTGTAATTAACTATGATAACGCAGGGGTCTGATTCATGTTGTCAGACAATGACAAATTGTGTTCGTGATTGCTTACCCTATTAACTTCATGGTAATATGACTTGTAAGTAAACTACTATCGTTATGCCCGCTTATTGTGTTACAGAGAGTGAGTAGCCGGGAAATCCCCGGGACGGTATTCATTTAAATGTCATATCTTGGAAACAGATATCGGTAGATTTCTACCTCAGATGAAAAACCAATCCTGATACCTTGAACTATACGAAAAATAAAAAAAAAATGAAAAAAAAAAATAAAAAATAAATAGGAAAAAAAAAAAAAAATATGAATTATTCTTATTATATGTACGCATATTGCATTCTTCCTTCATTCGTATATTGTATGTTCCTTGTCACGAAATTAATTCAATTTACAAATCGCCTAGCCAAGAAATTCCAGACTTGCCTAACCATTTCACCACCACGAAATCCCCCCAAAAGTATGTTTGGAAGTTGAACTCATAGACAGCTGGAATTTTCTAGTCAAAATTTGTCTTCCTTCGTTAACAGTGTTACAATGGCCAAATACACCTACTTGCAATAGTCTGGTATTGGAATGAGTTATATTCCTAAACAGATACAAATAGATAATAAAGATACATGACAATGGAAATATATAACAAGCACTGTCAATGATAAGTTTCTATCTAGTCATGCTTCATACGTATCCACACTTACAATAAGGGCGATGTATTGTAGCAGACTTGCAAAAGGACAAGGTGTGACTGTTTGAAACACATGTCCTCAAAAGGCACATTTACACCCAGAAAATCGATAAGGATATGAACGGGACCACTGGAAACGGTAAAACTTAATGTATTGGAACGTGTAATTGTTCCAGACATCGACTGTGAAATCACTGAAGTTAAACGAGTTTAGCATGAGAATAGTGCGGAGCCATGGAGACAGAATCTGAATCGAGATAGATAACCCTTTACGATGCATGTTTTCAAATAAGGCGATTGTATGTAGTTATGTGACGGTTCAATACGGTGACAGAATACCAAGTTCTTATACACGACTTGTTGGAAATAGGAAACGCAAAACCATAGCATGAGATATTAATTTGATATATAACATAAAGTGCATATTAGAGTCTGATGAAAGGTATAACATTTCATAACGCAAATTTAATAACATAGAACACCATGTCACAAAATATCTGTGTCGATCTCATAACTTATACATATCTTATCATCGGTAGTCATAGTTCGAAACCATTGTGAAAAAGAAGTGAAATGATACAATGTTATTTATTACAATAATTTCTATATATATCTTTTTGTACCGGTATGAAATTAGGACCAAAGAGATAAGAAGAAAGCTTTCAGCATAGGTAGTATAGATGCGTTTATTGCTTTCTATTCATTGAGTTAAAAATGATAATGAACAATTACCAGGTACTACCATAAATGATTATATTGTAAAATCGGTATTATATAGTGTAACTACATGTGAATAAAGCAGATGAGATGAATATATTAATTTACATAAAAGAGCCTTTGCCCTTACTGCACCTCTCCCTAAAACAAAGGGCATCGCCTATCACTTAACCTCTCTCTAAAACAAGGAACATCTTCTATCACTTCACCTCTCTCTAAAACAAGGGGCATCTCCTATCATTTAACCACTCGCTAAAACAAGGAGCATCTCCTAGCACTGCACCTCTCCCTAAAACAAGGACCATCTCCAATCACTTCACCTCTCCCTAAAACAAGGGGCATCTCCTATCATTTAACCACTCGCTAAAACAAGGGGCATCGCCTATCACTTAACCTCTCTCTAAAAGGGACATCTCCTATCACTGCACCTCTCCCTAAAACAAGGACCATCTCCTATCACTTCACCTCTCCCTAAAACAAGGGGCATCTCCTATCATTTAACCACTCGCTAAAACAAGGAGCATCTCCTATCACTATACCTCTCCCTAAAACAAGGGGCATCTCCTATCACTGCACCTCTCCCTAAAACAAGGAGCATCTCCTATCACTTCACCTCTCCCTACAACAAGCAGCATCACTTATCACTTTACCTCTCCCTAAAACAAGGGGCATCTCCTATCACTTAACCTCTTCCTGAATTAAGGGTCATCTCCTATCACTTCACCTCTCGCTAAAACAAGGAGCATCTCCTATCACTTAACCACTCGTTAAAACAAGGAACATCTCCTATCACTTCACCTCTTCCTGAATCAAGGGTCATCTCCTATCACTTCACCTCTCCCTAAAACAAGGGGCATCTCCTATCACTTAACCTCTCGCTAAAACAAGGAGCATCTCCTCTCACTTCACCTCTCTCTAAAACAAGGGGCATCTCCTATCACTTCACCTCTCCCTAAAACAAGGGTCATCTCCTATCACTTAACCTCTTCCTACAACAAGCAGCATCTCCTATCACTTCACCTCTCCCTAAAACAAGGAGCATCTCCTATCACTTCACCTCTTCCTGAATCAAGGGTCATCTCCTATCACTTCACCTCTCCCTAAAACAAGGGGCATCTCATATCACTTCACCTCTCCCTAAAACAAGAGGCATCTCCTATCACGTCACCTCTTCCTGAATCAAGGGTCATCTCCTATCACTTCACCTCTCCCTAAAACAAGGGGCATCTCCTATCACATAACCTCTCCCTAAAACAAGGAGCATCTCCTATCACTTCACCTCTCTCTAAAACAAGGGGCATCTCCTATCACTTCACCTCTCCCTAAAACAAGGGGCATCTCCTATCACTTCACCTCTTCCTGAATCAAGGGGCATCTCCTATCACTTAACCTCTCGCTAAAACAAGGAGCATCGCCTATCACTTCACTTCTCCCTAAAACAAGGGACATCTCCTATCACTTTACCTCTCCCTAAAACAAGGGGCATCTCCTATCACTGCACCTCTCCCTAAAACAAGAGGCATCCCCTATCACTGCACCTCTCCTTAAATCAAGGGGCATCTCCTATCACATCACCTTTCCCTAAAACAAGGAGCATCTCCTATCACTTCACCTCTCTCTAAAACAAGGAACACTTCCTATCACGTCACCTCTACCTAAACAAGGGGCATCTCCTATCATTTCACCACTCGCTAAAACAAGGAACATCTCCTATCACTTCACCTCTTCCTGAATCAAGGGTCATCTCCTTTTACTTCACCTATCCCTAAAACAAGGGTCATCTCCTATCACTTCACCTCTCCCTAAAACAAGGGGCATCTCCTATCACTTCAACTCTCCCTAAAACAAGGGTCATCTCCTATCACTTCACCTCCCCCCAAAACAAGGGGCATCTCCTATCACTTCACCTCTCTCTAAAACAAGGAACACTTCCTATCACTTCACTTCTCCATAAAACAAGGGGCATCTCATATCATTTAACCTCTCGCTAAAACAAGGAACACTTCCTATCACTTCACCTCTCCCTAAAACAAGGGGCATCTCCTATCTCCTATCATTTAACCTCTCGCTAAAACAAGGGGCATCTCCTATCACTGCACCTCTCCCTAAAACAAGGGGCATCTCCTATCACTTAACCTTTCCCTAAAACAAGAGGCATCGCCTATCACATCACCTTTCGCTAAAACAAGGGTCATCACCCATCACTTGACCTCTGCCTATACAAGGAGTATCACCTATCACTTCACACCTCCCTAAAAGAGGCATCTCTTATCACTTTACCTCTCTCTAAAACAAGGGGCATCGCCTATCTCTCCACCTCTCCCTAAAAGAGGCCTCGCTTATCACTTCACATTTCCCTAAAACAAGGACATCGCGTATCACTTTACCTCTAAGTAAGATTCTCTCCTCTTATTTCATCTTTCTTTTAAAGTAAGGGACCTAGTTCATCTCTATCTCTGAAACAAGAAGCTCTCCCCTCACATCATTCCCTCTCTCCCTCTCAAAAAAGGCCTCGCCTCTACCTCTACATCTCTCTTAAAACCTATCCCTTTTTTTTAATATATCTTCGATTTGACAATAGGGTGTTACCTTTACTTAAATAAAAGCACTTGAAGTTAAACATTTTCATCTATCGTTGTAGTATTGAGCATGGTAAGTGATCCTTCTTTAAAATCACATGACTTTTGGTTGTCATGTATGTTTGTATTGAAAGTTTTCTCGTTTTTCCTATCAGTACATCTATTCCACCAGTGACAGTTCACACTAGCTTGCCTGACAGCAAACAGATCATGTTCATGTATAGTTTTGTCAAATTTCCACCGAGAAACAGCTTCGGCTACCTTTTCCTCAAGTTCCTCCATCTTAGATTCGTCGTCACTCAACCAAAGTTTCTCTATGATTTTGGGTAAGAATATTATCACTACAAAAGCTATAGTTGTTGCTGTTTTGGAAAAACTGTCAAACGTCTTCCGTAGAAATATAATTGTTAATGTTAGAATCATGAATATCCCCGTCACAAGAATCTTTATCAATAGATTAGAAATTCTCTCTCTGACAGGTGAACATTCACTGCAAACGAAATCAAATTCTTTCATCGATATTTTCTGCCTCTTGTCTGCTTTACTCTTATTATCTAGTCTGTTACTAGATTCCCGATGTTTGTGTTGGACATATTGTTCTGCAACATCTTCATCAAGAGCGGCGTCAGATTTCAACTTAAACATTAACTTTAATATCGTCCGATATCCGTTTGTGAATTTCCGCAAATAAAAACATAAATATAGGATGATAGGAAAAACCATGCTATATTTGGAGAGGTCATCAAAAGAGTAGCAATGAATGGTGTACATTGATGAGTGAATCATCACGTTAAACAGGAACACCAGATTATTACCACATACTATGATAATAAAAAATGTAAAATATAGCGCAAGGAAACAGACGCGAAAAAGTTCGAACCGGGAGTTTACCAATGTCAAAGATGAGAAGAATAGCCCAATCAAAGGAAATAGTCCCCAGAGAACGTTTATCACAACATTTAAAGTAAAGAATAAAAGGCATAACAGAAAAACGGGAATAAATGTCACAATATCCCAGCACATATGTGTTTTTCGCAACAGTAATCCTGAAAATGATTCCCTAATAAGCAAACGCCAGAATCGTGGATTGAAAATAATCCTAAATCGTTCGACATGCATGGCTATCATTTGCTGACCATCGGTTAGTTTGTTCCTGTTCTCATGCTGAATGTGATATTTTAACCTTGATTTCTTCACGAATGCCGCCTTAGGTGTGCCGGTGGAAGAAAGCATGAATATATAGGGATCATCTAAAAGTTTAGTGTATGTACTTGTTGGAACCACATGAAGAAGAAAAAGCGTCACAACCATACCAACGATAACAATTACTCCGTATGTATAATATCGCATTATTGGTGACGAAGACTGATACATCCAGTCGTCTAAGTCCTTATACGCTAATTTAGACGATAGATCAGACACCTGAATCCACATATTGGGCACCTGAACTAATATACTGGTAATCCATAAGATCAAAATAGATCTAGTCACTGGGCGTGTCATATGGTACTTCTGGAAAAGTGGGTAACAGTTGACCATAAAAAGCGATAGTTTTAGGAGGAATCGTTTGATACTGTAAGGCCAGTCGTTTTGGTGATAGCAGGTAAGGTTGTCTTCTTTGATATGTAACGCGTCGTAAAATACGTACACCAAATGTGGACCGTAGAGTAGAATGATCACAACAAAGGCATAGGTAACGGATATAAGAAACGGCTCTTCCACCGCTTTACCACATTCTTCCGTACAGTTGCCGGTTCCATTACATGCTTGTCCGTTTTCTTCAATTTGATCTGGACTACCAAAAAATTCTAATAATCCTTTCAAAACTGGTGAGGCAAAAACCTCTCGGTCAGGAATGTCGCGAGAAAAATTACACGTCACGTTTGCTTCAATAAATTCCATTTCTGTTGATTCCTGACTATACACTGTCTTTACAAACTGTTCTTCCTTAGCCAAAACTAATTGTTCTGGATTTCCCATTGTCCAAACGAAGTCTGAAACACTTTTCATTTCATCAAAATGAACTAGAAAATACACCACAATTACATCCCATCTTCTGTCTTTTAGGTCCTGTTTTAATTGGTTTATCCGATCTATATCATCCGGGTTCATTATCATAAAGCAGTCATCTCTCTTGAGTAGCCCTTTTCGTCTAAGGAAGTTGTTCATCTCGACATCTACCTCCGATTGGATTGACAAAGACACCAAGAATATAAACACCAGGACTTGGAGAAGCGATCCCATACTGGAGATAAACTGCAACATGAAAGTTGCCAGTTGAATTACACAATTTTATTTCATCCAACTACTTTCAAAATAAATAACAGCTCGTTTATAATTAAGTATAACGTTTATGAATAAATCGAACATCAAAAGGGTTAAAATGTGGCCCATGATTATAGCTGACTTCAGCAAAATGCATATTTTTCTTAACATTTTTCTTGGTAAAAGGTTCACTTTATCGTTATAAACATACATATATATGTTACTAGGCAACAAATAGAAATAATTGTTATATGTTGCTAGGCAACACACGCCAGTCGTTTTATGCAAGAGTTATTAGGTAACTGGTATATATATTTTACTTTGATGATACGTACCAAATCAATTCTATACCGAATACTAACATGGTACTATATAGCAAAGGAAATGTAATCTATTAGCATTTAATGTTGTTTTATTGATATGATGTGTCACTATGTAAGGTTTGTATTAATGTAAATTTATCTGTAATTAACATTGTCGTATTGATATGATGTGTTACTAGTGAGTTTTGTATCCATGTTGATTTATCTGTAATTAAAATCTCTAAGTATTATTGCCTGAGTTTTGTATTAATGTAAATTTATCTGTAATTACCATTGTCGCATTGATATGATGTGTTTCTAACTTAGTTTTGTTTCCATGTTAATTTATCTGTAATTAAATTTATCTCTAAATATTATTGCCTGAGTTTTGTATGTAACAAAATAGGGTTTAGCGTAACACATCTGGATTTTCATATGGGACTGGTTGAAATAAGTTTAAACAATAGTTCGTTTAATGTTCAATAGTATATCAATAAAACACATATAGGTAGTTCACATGGGTGTGGATAATTACTTGCATATATACACTTAGGTTGGTGTAGTCTGGGCCCCGAGAATCTTATCAGTGGGTGTACAGCTTCGGCCAGTTAATTAATTAGAGACTATTCCCACTTCCTCGATAATTAAACTGATGTAATTCACCGTGCGGACAGTGGCCACCTAGTGGTGGAGTAATTATAAGGGTATATTTCAAGTAACAAATTAGCAGGAAGAATCTCAATCTTGCACCTCGAGTACAGGTGGCTATACTTCAACAATCGTATCATCTAGTAACAAGTGAAGTCCATATAAGGGGATAGCGGGACAGAATCGGTCAAGATGAGATAAAGGGGTTTGGACACCCGACTGCACGGTCAGAGACAGCCTTGGGGGAGCCTACCAGATGGACAGTTATGGTACGAGACACAACGTGAAGCACTAGTATGAGTATATAAACTCTGTATGTTGATAAGATGTTGCTTTTGTACATGTAACATTATTATTGTTCAACATGTAATAAACATGGCTATTACAAACAAGTATGTGTGTTTACGCCTACTGTGTTGCATGTATTAATGTTGATTTATCTGTAATTAACATTGTCGTATTGATATGATGTGTTACTAAGTTTTGTACCCATGTTAATTTATCTGTAATTAAATCTATCTGTAAGTATTATTGCCTGAGCTTGTATTAATGTTGTTTTATCTTTAATTAACATTGTCGTATTAATATGATGTGTTACTAAGAGAGATTTGTATCCATGTTAATTTATCTGTAATCAACATTTTCGTATTGAGATACTGATTAGTGGGTGAATGGTTTTTGTATGGTAGATACCTAGTGTAGGTTGTTTTGTAAGTTAGACCTTAGACAATACTACAGTGTATATTTGAATAATTCTGACGTTTGGGTCCGGAACACTTTTTTGTGACACCTGAAACTACAGTCATTGTGTTTTTTGCAAGGTATCAGCTAGACACAGGTATGTTGATGGCTATTAGCTAAATGATAACACAACAATACGTCTAGCCATTCGAATGGCACACGCTTATACAATGACTGTGTACGCTACCCTGTTATTGGATGCTGTGATGGGAAAGTATTAGACACGTTAAATATCGTATGCATGAGTGCCACTTAACAATGTCCCACATATTATTAAGTTACAATATGGCACATAAAATCAACATTCCGTAATTTACGCCCTAATGGTAAGAGGGAAAGGTGTTGAAGTTATAATAACGAGTGTACAATATAATCAAAACAAATAAACAACACATACACGTCTTAAAAAAGTTCCTGATAAACTTAACAAAAAAGATTATTTATCAACTTAGCTGAAGAAATTATGTAATAGTTTCATTTCCTACAATTTTACAAACTTGAACTTTCATCATCTTTTTACTTTCTGTCAATAACGGGAAACACTCCCTACACCTGACTTGATTTATCATTGTGATCCCCATAATCAACTTCGGTCAACATCTACCCTTTGTATACCTCAATATGTGATCATACAAAGCTCCCCACTTCTCTGGATCATTGTTTGTGTCCGATAAAGTTAAAATCAACTGTCATACAACGGTGTTGTATGGTCAGTGTACGATTTGAATCAAAATAATTGATATTATGTGAACTCACCTTTCAGACAGACTCTGACGGGTAGGACACTGCTGCGTTACGCAATTTGTCTTGGTTTTAACTGGTGTAGACAGCATACACTTAAATACAGATCTTTAGCCCTAAGTATGTTATTAATATCTGCGTTGAGCCACGTGTGGCCGGTTTCAATACACGTTGAATAGCATCGCTTATCTCACCTTGTTTTCAAACATAAAACATTTAAAAACCGCAATGTGTGAACTGAATCCAAAATATGAAATTATATGAAATACTCAAGTGTATTTATAATTTATCTTCACCTTTTATATGGGAATTAAATTAAGATATCGACTTGGACCTAACGTGATTATTAGTTTTTAGTTATAATAACTTAAACATTGAAATTTTATAGAATTCTGATGTTTACTATTATGAATACAAAATCATTGCTCGACAACCAACAGTTATACATTCAAAAATGATCAACTTATCATAGAATCTGTGTGAAGCGTCCATTCGCTACGTGCCTTGATATGGCCGAACTAAACACACCTGGTCAGTTACCAATAAAAGTAAATTTTGACTGGTAAAGTTGCTGACAAATGTATACTGGGAAACATTGTGCCAGCTCACCAATCCTTATATGAAGCCTTTACATTCCATCGCTCAACAGCTGTGAAATTTTCAGTACGTTTTGACCACGGTCACCGTGATTTTGTCTTTCACTTACTGAGGTTAAACACGATGTTTTATACTAATGTTTCTGAATTAAGGGATGCTGTTATGGTTTATTGTTGTGTACATGGACATTTAAGATAAATGGTTTGCTTACTTATCTGTCCAGACCACCAACTGATTCGTTTCAATGTGACAGTCACTTCATTGGTGAAAGTCACTTCATTGGTGAAAGCCACTTCATTGGTGAAAGTCACTTCATTGGTGAAAGCCACTTCGTTGGTGAAAGTCACTTCATCGGTGAAAGTCACTTCATTGGTGAAAGTCACATCATTAGTGAAAGTCACTTCATTGTTGAAAGTCATTTCATTGGTGAAAGTCACTTCATTGGTGAAAGTCACTTCATTGGTGAAAGCCACTTCGTTGGTGAAAATCACTTCATCGGTGAAAGTCACTTCATTGTTGAATGTCACTTCATTAGTGAAAGTCACTTCATTGTTGAAAGTCATTTCATTGGTGAAAGTCACTTCATTGGTGAAAGTCACTTCATTGTTGAAAGTCACTTCATCGGTGAAAGTCACTTCATTGTTGAATGTCACTTCATTAGTGAAAGTCACTTCATTGTTGAAAGTCATTTCATTGGTGAAAGTCACTTCATTGGTGAAAGTCACTTCATTGTTGAAAGTCACTTCATCGGTGAAAGTCACTTCATTGTTGAATGTCACTTCATTAGTGAAAGTCACATCATTGTTGAAAATCACTTCATCGGTGAAAGCCACTTCATTGTTGAAAGTCACTTCATCGATGAAAGTCGCTTCATCGATGAAAGTCACTTCATTGTTGAATGTCACTTCATTAGTGAAAGTCACTTCATTGTTGAAAGTCATTTCATTGGTGAAAGTCACTTCATTGGTGAAAGTCACTTCATTGTTGAAAGTCACTTCATCGGTGAAAGTCACTTCATTGTTGAATGTCACTTCATTAGTGAAAGTCACTTCATTGTTGAAAGTCACTTCATTGGTGAAATTCACTTCATTGTTGAAAGTCACTTCATTGGTGAAAGTTACTGCATTGGTGAAAGTCACTTTCGTTCCAATTTTCAAAGATTTGTTCCATATTTCAAATTTTTCAGAGTAAGATGTCAAAAACTGACCCCAGGTGTTTAAAGGCTAGGTAGAGATAACCAGTGGTTGATGTTAATTTTTCGAATATAAATGAAAAAATAATAATGATAATAAATACGAAACACATTATCATTTCACAGCGATGACTTTGTTAAGACAAGTTAGATTTATAAGTTTTCAGGGTCAGATTTGTTTTTCGAGTCCTGACTTTGCCAGTGGCAACAATTTCAACTTATCACTAGCCACTTGTTAACTCGAACAAAAATTTCAGCAACTTGGTACAACTTTTAATACAGGTTTCCCTTGAACTTTTCCCAAGAGTATCCGTGTAAATCTTTCATGTACACTTTTCTGTGCACATATCGGTATTTTCATGTTATTTCTGCTATTAACTACGGCTGTCGCCGAATTTTCCATTTGAGTTGACAAAATAGATACATAAATACAGTTTCTTGCTTTCCAGATCCCTTCTATAAACCTTTAAAACAAAAGTGGCCTTTATCAGGCTGTAACTATTAATGACGTCAATGCCATATATAGCCAGCGAGGGGAAAGGTCAAAAGTAATTACCTCGTAAAAGCAAAACCATTTTCTTTAATCAAAACTACTGAAAGGAATGTTAAAATCGGGAGGTCATGTGGTGCAGTGGTAAATCTCTCACCTTTCACCTAGACGTTCAGGGTTCGATTCCGGAAACGGACGTAAAAAGGTATAATGGGTACTCCGGTTTCCTCCCATAGTAAGACCATTTAAAGCGCTTCCATCCGGACAA